TTGTAGCTTGGGTAAAACAGCTCTGGACCTCTATCAGCTGCCTGTGTGTTTGGAAGGGAAAGATAGGCACCAAAGCACAGAGAATATTGAAACAGAGGCAGGAGCTCTTCAGTTTTTTTCTCCCTGTGTTTCCTTGCAGTGTTTTACCAAACAGTATGTTCACTTGTACTTTTCTCCTCACTGTAGGATATCTCATTTCCGAGCCCTTCCCTGCACTGTTGCACTCTCAGACAAGTTACTGGACAGAGCTAGGGGTTCTTAATTCCCTTTGGGCTTATATCTTGTGCCTTAGCTCCTTGTCAAATTTGGTTCCTTACAAGGGATCTGGAAGGACATAGTAAAGGCTGCTGAAATTTTGTCTTCTGCTTGTAGCATCACTGCTGACGGTCCCATGTCTGCTATCTACGGGCTGCTCTTGTGCATATCTTTCAGTCCATGGCTAGTGCTTTCCAAAGGTTGTGGCTGGGAGTTCTCTCCTCTCTGCAAGCCATGCTCTTTAGACAGATTGATCTCAAACCCACACGGTTCCCTGGCTGAAGCTGGAAAGGGCCATGGCACTGGTGCTGATGTCTTCCTGCCCAGCTGTATGAGGGTGGATGGATGGAGCACTTACAAGTGCTGCTAGGCAATGGAAAGTGTGACTATGTGGGCTTGGGATATGCATTTTAATGAGGTGTTTGAATTCCCCCTTTGCTTCGTAGCAGGGCCAATGTTTGGCAGTGCCACAGCATCTAACAACCACATATTGTCTCCCTTGAGCTGCACAGTTTTCAGGATAACCAGGCTTCACCCTCACCCTGCTCCCCAGACAAACAGGAGACTGTGAGAGAAATGTCACCAGGACTCAGATTCCTCCTAAAAGGTGCCCAGATGGTCTGATGTCATCCCAGATGTCTCTGAGGCAGAACTTTGACCCAAGAAAGGGCTGCAGTCTCTCAGCTCTCCCATGGGAGTTTGTCTCTTCCCATGCTTCACTTTACCAGTGTTCAAGCAAGATGAGGTTTGCCAGAGCTAACTCCAAGGGCAGGTCCAAAGGTGACAAATCACAGCAGAACTGGGATGTAGCTGAGGGAGTTCTGCTTTTCCTGCTCTTGCTGGAGGTTGTACAACCCCAAATCATCCTGGCTGTAGTGCAGAGCCCATAGCAGGCAAGAACCACAAAAGCAGCAGTTGTGTTGCATGTCCTGGTGTTGGTGTGGAGGTGCCAACAAAGAGCAGAGTGGTGGTTGGGAGCTGGCTTAGCTCTGACCTTGTAGGCTTGAGCAGACACTGTTTGCACATCTATAATTTACACAGTGTGAGCTCCTCTTCAGCTTCTCATCGTTCATGAAGCACAGATATAAACTGGGAACACCCCCCTTGTTGTCATGGTCACCCCACCTGTTCCCAGCTGTAGACCAGGGTTGTTCTGCTCCAGGTTTGGGGGGTGATATTTTGTAGCCTTGAAAGTGGTTGTTTCAAGCTCAAAGTCCCAGCTGTGCTGACAGATCATTCACCAGGAGTTTCTCAGCTCAAAAGCACTGGAGTGGCAATTCAGTCTCCACCTCTCAGCTCAATTTCATCTGTGCTAATTTGAGGGAAACAGAGGAATCTTCCCCCATCAAGTTTTCTTCATTTAAAACTTGACTCTGAGAGCTACAACCATTCCCAATGGGAAAAAAAAAGTGGGTTTTCCCCCAGTTGTTCTGTATTGTTACTTCCTGTCACCCTCTTCTTTAATCCTTCCTCCACCCAAAAATGCATCTACCCAGGCAAACACATTGAGAGAAGTATTTCACCTTACAGCACCTGGCACGAGGGTGCTGCACCCCTACCCTGGTTTTCCTCTGAGTGAGGGGGTTAGGTCTGTGCTTGGCTTAGCCCCAAAATGGACCAGTGCTGTGTGCACAGCCGTTGAGGAACAACCTGGCCTTCAGCAGAGAAGGAATGGTTAATTTTCTGCCTCCTTGGCAGGAGTTTCAGTGGAATGACTCACTGAGGCCAAGCAGGAGTGGAAGTGCCGGGACCCCATTGGCAGCAGAGCAGCTCGGGAATCCCACGGCAGCCTAAGCCCTTGGCTTCTTGGAGCCAGGAGAACTTCCAGCTGTGGCCTTACAAGGCCAAAATGAGAAACCTGCTGCCATGTCCTGGCTGAAAAAGAGCTGCCAGGCACTCTCTGCATAAAGAGTTTTGCAAATCCTTGCCTGGGGTCTAGTGGAGAGAGGAGGAGAGGGCTGGACACCGAGAGCACTCGGTCATAGCTGCATACTCAAGGATTCCAAACAGTACACTTTTACCAAGTTATTCTCCTTACTTAAAGTCTCTTTTGCCTGACAGCTCCTGAATCATATCCATCACTCCACAAGGAAGTCACATCTCTCTCATAAAGCATTTGTGGGTCAGGAATATTGGTAGCAAAGCATGTTGCAGATTGCAGTCTTTAGGATATACCTGGGAGTCCTTCTGGAGGAGAGATAGAACCAGGATGAGTCAGGGATTTCAGAGAATTCTGGGAGAGGTGGGGAGCCAGTTGAGCTCCTTTTGGCTCCAGTGAGCACTGTAATGCTCATGTCTGGGCAGAATTAGGTCTTGAGGTGAGTCCTACCTTCTCTATGTTAAGCTACTCAGGCTCTTGGAGGCAATGCTGGGATATAGACACTTCCATGCATAACTCAGCCCATCCTAAAACCAAACCAGATGGGATGGATTACTCCCTGAGGTGACCTCCCCTGCCTAGAGCAGGATTAGATGCAATGCCCAACCTTCTGATGACTGAGTTGGGAAAGCTGAATCCCACCCTTTGCTTTTACTGAGGATGAGGTAAAATCTCATATGGTCTCCCTCACTCTGTTTGCTTTGGAGCAAACCCATGTGCACACACACTTGTACATATGTTTGTGTGCATATTACACAAATGCAGAGGTTTTTAATTGAAGTTGCAGAGGCAAACATTTAGTAGAGAGGCCAGAATCCAGGCTGTCTGTGCATGTCCATTGAAGTATGACACAAGTTTTTCCTGGGAAAAACCAATTCAAACTCCATGGAGATGACTTAACTGAGACAAAAATAAGAGACAGAAAAGAAAGAGAGAATGAAAGTAGCGAGAGAGATGGTTCCAGCCCCACATTTGGCCCCTGTATGAGGGTGTGGGGAAGCACTGGGTTTTCTAGGAATGTCTGCTTCAGTTCTGTCCTGATCCTTCTTGCAGTTCTAGCTTGGATGCTGTGTTGTTTCACCTTTTCTTCTCCTTTTTCTTTTGGCTGAACACAGGCAAGAATGTCAAAAGGAATTTGTGAGCACAAGGGAGGTGAGATGCAGTCTCTCTACAAGTAGGCCAAAGCAAGATTATTTTTCCTCTTGCCTTGTTCTCAGAAACAGCAGAGCTTTTTTGGGCCCAATAAATCCCTCTGAGAAAAGTGCAGTTTAACAGAATAGCAAAAAAAACCAAAAACCAAACTAAAAGAGCATTTTTGTAATGGGAAAGGTCAAGCAATGTTAATTATAATCAGAGCTATAATATAGATAATGAGATTTGGGGACGTTTCCTCCAAATCATTGCCTCTGGACACCTGTTTCTCTCCTTTGCCTGCCCTGAAGGGGTAGTGAAGGGGGAATGTTGCACATAGGGAGCTGTTGTGGTCTCACTGTTTTGTGCTTTAACATCTAGTCCAAATTTCCTTCAGCCAAGGTTGGCACATGGAGGTCTGATCACACTCACACAGGACCAAAGCTTCTCCATTTTCACTTTCTGCTTACTTTGTTCCATTTTTTGAGGGACAAATGGAAAGGCCAATTTTGTTGTCAGGGAATAAATCCGAGTCCTTTTCTCCATGGTGTGATTGCCTTTCTATGCACGTGTGAGATGGTTTGGCTGACTGGATTGAGAGCTGGAAACCTCAAGTTTTGGAAAGCTCTCAATTTTTGACCTTGACATGATTACTTAAGTAGTTTGTGCCTCAGTTTTCCTTTCTGTAAAATGGGACTGTGGGTGTTCGAGGGTCCCTCTGAAAGGTGGTGTCATGTGTTATCTGATGCATTTTTACAGCACAAAGGCTGTTGTGAAAGAGGAGGTGAGAGAGCATAAAACTTTCTCTCTCCTTTTGTAAACAACTGCTGTTTAGCTCCTCCTAGCCTGTTCTCTATGGACTGTCAGGCTGGGGAGACAGCCTCCATATCTGGGGCAGGCATTCATCTTCATGAAGGTTTGCTTGGTGCACAGCATGATGTAAACCTACTGGGGTTGTCCCCTTGTCTTTGAAAGAGCCTCTTCCACCAGCATTTGCTTTAGTATTCTTGTCTGTGCAACAGTGGTGGGACGTGGAGCAATGTTCCAGTTAAGCAAATCAATCCTGAGATCCTTGCAGAGGACAATGGTTTGTATGGAGGGCAGAAACAGGCAGGGAGGGACTCCAGACCTGGCTCCAAAATGTTTGAAGCTATGGGAAATATTCCCCTTAACTTCATATGATCTGGAAGCCAAGTCACCCATTGGGAGATTTGTTGCAGTATTGCATCATCATCTTCCATGCAGAACCCAGGGGGATATTGATGACACAGCTTGATCAGTCTTTTGTGCTCCTTTCCAAATTTTCTTTACATAGGCCTAGAAATATGTGGTTTCCAGCACTGTTGATTACTTTTATATTTTTTCTGGACAAACTCTTCACATATTTCCATGATAGACATGAGAAAAAACCTTTAACTGCTGATGAATCCACTATATTGTTTCCTGCATAGCTATCCTTGGAATGGAAAGGCATAATGGTGGCCAATAAGGGACAGAGCTGAGAAACTGCTGATTCCTCTACTTATAGATATTGCCTCATATTTCTCCCATGTTTCTCCCATGTGCTTTGCATCAAAATAGAGAGTATGTTTGCATGGACAGAGGCTGCTCTTGGGCATGTTCTCTCAGTCTTAGTAAGCTGAAGTCTGTCTCCAGGTGAACACAGCTGTATGGCTGCTGAATCACAGCTGGTCAAACTGGACAGTGTGCCTACTGGTCTCTTTTCTCTTTCTAGACCAAAGAAGCCCTCTTCACAATTCTCCAGGACCTAAGGCCTGAAGACCACTTCAATATCATTGGCTTTTCCAACAGAATAAAGGTCTGGCAGCAGGACAGGCTGGTTCCAGTTACTCCAAATAACATAAGAGATGCCAAAAAGTACATTCATAACATGTCACCTACTGGAGGTATGATGCAATGATATGAATGTGACTAATTTTGTTATCCAATTAACTGCAACAGAATGGAGAGTGGTGAATGTGGTCCTGTGGTGTGGGACAATGAAAAGGCATTGGGATTTAGGTCATGGGACAAGGGGTTATGTGACATAGGTTATGTGTTCTTCATTAATATACATGATGGGAATCATTGAAGGAGAATTGGACTAGGTGACCTTTAAAGGTCCTTTCCAACCCAATCTATTCTATGATTCTAGGTAATAATTAAAGTCAAGTTGGGCCCATTCTCCTGCTTATCTGCTGAGACCCTTTGAGTGGGAAAACTCCCAAGGTTATTTCTTAAGGACACAGGAAAAGACACCATATCCTGGTGAAGGACACACAGGGCCAGTACTTGTGCAGTTTCTGAAAGCCTGTGTGAAAGCAGGCACATGGTTTTTCCAGGGATGGAGTACCCAGTGTAGGCTGTGAGATTGCCTTCTGCAAAAGTTAGTTTCTCATCTTGTACTGCCTTCATGTCTCTACCACGGAGCATCCAGAATGACGTTTATTAATTTCTTGTCCCTTTTTTACTTTTGCTTTGTTGCCAGGAGGGAAGAGGGGAGAGGAGGAGACCCCAGAACAGTGGCAGAGTGCAGGCAGGATTTTTAATTCGATTCAGAGGTCTCCTATGAGCTATGGGCACTAGTATTAAAAAAACCTCTATAGTGAGGTTTGTAATCAAACATATTTTGGCAGCTGTGCCCATCCTAGCTGAGCCTTCCCCAGGTAAGCAGGAAGCTGCAAAATGACCTGTGCAAAGCCTCCCCCATGTAAGCAGTCACAGCTGGTGGAGGTCAGGCAGGGCCTTCCCATGGCTGCCCTGGAGCAGTGACCACTCCTAGCAAAGGAAACTCTCTGATGGAAAAACATGGCAAACAGGATGGTTGGCTGCACTGTTTGTGTTGCGAGAGGAAGAGTTTAGGAAGTGGTCAAGGGATCTGCCCAGTTAAACAATTACCAACAATGGGACTAAACTCAGAGAACAAAGCCTTTTATTCCTGAAGTGCCAAAAGAACTGTGCAGGAACCAGCTGAGTTTGCCCATGAACCTGCCAGAGACAAAAGTGAGGAAATCATTAACTCGGGTTCAACAGGAAGGTGCAGTGATTCTCCACCACAGGTACTTCAGTTTTGGCTAAGTGCATTTTCCCTATAAAGGTGCTGTATCTTCAGTGAAAATGGATGCACTGAGGCTCATGGATCACACAGGCAAAGGCCACGGTGTGTTTACACCCCTGTGTCATGCTCATATCCTGAAGAAATGGGAGAAAAATACAGCTGCTAAATACCTGTGCATGTGGCAAAAGGCAGATTTTAGTGCTTGGTAGCTCTGTGATGTGACTGGGTTTGAAATGATACACTGACACTTGGGATGGTTTTCTTCTGTTTCTGGGGGGAAAATTCTTTATAACATTCTGGATGGATACTGAGAGAGCATTAGGATACTTAGGTGCAGGTTTTTGGTTCAAAACCATTTTGAGAAAAGACACAGTCAGGATTTTGAGGACTTCTCACAAGCTTTTGTCCCCTTCTGGTCTTGCTGCAGTCACTGGAGCTGTGCACACTAAGTTTCTATGTATGTGCTGTATGGTCAGACCTTGCTAATAACCTTCCTAGATTTCCTCTTCTGGACTCCCAGGAGTCTGTTGTTTATGGCTCTTAACCCACTTCCCCTGCTTTTTTTCTAACAGCTGTTTTTAACCCACACATGCTGATCTTGCAAAGGTTCCACAACCAATCTCTCTGTGCTTTGGCCTGCACAAGAAATACATGGAGCAAGGATATAGCTGTACTCATTTTCCTGCTTTTTTTTTTGAACACACAGTGAGTTTGGATCATTTTCATGGCTATTCTAATGTACATCTGTTCCCTCATTTACTTTGTTTCCTCCCTCTCCCCCCACTTCAGGCATCTCCATTCTTCTCTAGCCAGTTGTTTTGTGCAAACAGTCCTCAGTTAACCAAGCCATTTCTCTTCCCTTTAAACTTTGTATCCCCTGGGGTGTGAAGAAAACCCAACCACTTGTTTTCCCATTTGAAGACTTTTTCCCTTTCTCCAACTCTTGTGCCCTTCAGACAAAGTGAGCAGAACTTGTTTTCCTAGTTCAGATACCATCTGGGAGAGTCCTGTAATTAAGTTTAATTATTTTTGTAAGTATTGGGCAGACATGGTATGTGCTGTGACTGTTTATCATGGCTGATTGTCGTACATTGAGACATTCAAGGATACAGCAATTTCACATGATAAACTTCAATTCATAAGACCATAAACAGCTATCCCAAACTGGTGCTGAGTAACAGAGCTGAACTGGATTCAAGGTCTAGATCAACCTCATGTAGAGAAGAGAAACATCCTGCTGTACAGAGATGCTGTCACTGCCCTAAAGGGAGCTTAGGGAAACTCTTCACACCACTCTTAGAAGGAGAAATGAGCTAATCATTTTGGTACCTTCCCAGGGACTAACATCAACGGAGCTCTCCAGACTGGTGCAAAGCTGCTAAATGACTACATTGCTCAGAACGACATCGACGCCAGGAGTGTCTCTCTGATCATCTTCCTCACGGATGGGAGGCCAACTGTTGGGGAAACACAGTCATCCAAAATCCTCAGCAACACCAAGGATGCCATCCACGATAAATTCTGCCTCTTCACCATCGGCATTGGCAATGATGTGGACCACAAGCTGCTGGAGAGGATGGCATTGGAGAACTGTGGCATGACAAGGCATTTCCAGGAGGATGAGGATGCAGCCAGCCACCTCAAAGGGTTTGTTCTACTTTTTTTTTTCCTGGCCGTTGGGTCCTCTGGGCAAGGCTATGGGTAAGGAATGTCCTCTAAGGAGCCATAGCTAGAGGTGGGAGTTTCCCTGAGGCTCAGCTCTGGCTGGGAGAGGCAGAGTATGCTCAGATGCTGAGCATGTCTACCCAGAAATTGTCTCCTTCCTAGCAGACAACCCGAGTTGCACTGGAGCTTCCCAGTCACTCAGAACAAGGCATTTCTTTTCCTAATTCAGATCAAAGTTCTGGGCACATAAACCTGGAGAGCTGGGAGGATGAGTGCCAGCTCTTCACAGGTAGGTGGTGGGAGGAAAGGATGCATTGCTTACTTGATATTAAGAACATAAACAGCATGGAGGGGCCCAGGAATGAAGATCCCAATTTGAGGCAGAAAATTATTCCTTTATTTTTTGAAAATTATAACCTTTTGCCCAAACTGTGAAATATTCAACTTTGAAAAATACACAAGGATCATTTCTGGGATGATCATATAGTCTCCTCATTTCCTCATTCTTTGTGACCCAAACTCCTAACAAGCTTCCTGTAATCCTCACCATTCAATAGGACCAGAGTTTATATTCTTATTCTGTGCTCAGAGAACTGTACTCAAAGGGAAGTCTCTAGTGAAGAACTGCATAGAGATACCCAAACCACAGCCCTGACTAAAATATCAAGCAGTGTATCAATATTTCCAAGCAAAAATGTTTGGCTTTCACTCCCAAAATGTTAGTACTTTGAAACTCAGAAACCAAAAAGAGATAGTAATTGAGCAGAGACCTCTCTCCTAGTGCTTAATTCATCTGGAGCAATGAATCCATAGCATCTTCCACTAGAGCTTTGCTTTCTGTGCTGGTTATGTGTGGGCAAGAGTTCCTTTGAAATCAGATTTTGTAGTTCCATCTGCCACTCCACCCATGTCATTTCCTTCTCAGAACATGTATTTTGGATAGCAAGTGGCATTCCCTGGCAAAGAAAGGATGTTCTGATTGATTGGGCTGCAGGAGCCCAGCACTGCAAGTACTTGTTCAAGCACCTCAATCTGATAAACAGCTCACTGTTTATCAAGCTCAGGGATGGCAAATCCATTTGGCATCTGGTGCCAAATTTACACAGAAAAGCACAATCACTGCTGGAGGCCAATTCAAACCTCTGTTGGAGAGAAAATCTACATGGGTGCCAATGTAATTTCTGACTTTTGTGGTCAGTGGGTTGTATTTTTATACAGATACTTCCTTGAATTGTACTGTAAGACAGGTTAGGTTGTATCTCCCACGCCACTATTTTTACAACCCAGGAGCTATTTTGCAGAATTCTCAGGTTTAATTCACTCATGTTTTAAAATCTGGTGAGGTCTCTGCATCAAAGACAGTGAGTGCTCAGACAGACGTTAAAAGAAAGTCAACCAGTTCAGTCTTTGGGCTCCCTTGGAGTGAGAATAAAGCAGAAAGTGTGACTTTAGCTTCCAGGCAATCTGTTTAACCAGATGTGAAAAATAAATGCAGCTTGAACTAAAAAAGAGCTGAGGCCAATTCTTTGTTTATTTACCAAATTATACTCAAATGACTTGCCAAGAGATGAGCAGTCTGGCATTTAAATGGGAAATATGGCATTCTTGGAGCAGCTTGGGAACAACCATCAAAAGAACATTGCTGCAGAGAAAATACAGTACTGTAAACTTGGGCCTTGACCCTTGTGAAGACTTTCTGGGCTGTCCAGTGTGAGGTGTTCCCAGAAGTGTGGTAGGTCATGTTAATGAGGCATTATAGGGTTAAACTCTCTGGTTCCACAGAAGCCATGCCTTGCTCCAACAGAAAAACAGCAGTAAGGTAGCAATGAGTTCTCTTCTGCCAAGGTGTCTGTATTTAGTAGATAGACGTCCTCCCTTCCTTGGAAATGTCCTCATTATGGAGACATGGTGAGATTCCTTCTTGATTCTCTTTCTCCTTTGGCCCTCAGAAAAGAGTATTCCTGTCTGTTCTACACTGACCATCACAAACATAGTATCTAGAGGCCTTCCAGAGATACAGAAGCTTTGGTCTGGATTTTTTCCAGCTTTGGGAGACCTAACATTTTGGTCTTACAGTTTCTGGCTCTGAAATACCAAACATAATACTACTAGAAACCTGTGGGTAACAGCATCTCTTCTAAGTATATTTTGAAATAACTTGGGTGCTTTCTGTGAGCCTCAAAAGCCAAGAACTTACTTTTATTGGACAAGTCTTCTTAAGCAAACTTAAGTGGTCAGAAACATCTCCTTGCAGAGTTCTGGAATCATAGTAGAAGGGAGGTGACTGTGCCAGATCATGCTGAGGTGCTTCTGAACATCCTTAAGAGACGTTTTTTGGATGCCTAAGAAACAATGAAAACTAAAATGGGGCAGAGGATAATTTTGGTTGAAAAGGAACTCTGGTAATTCTGTAATTCAACCTCCAGCTCAGAGAAGAGCTAACTTCAAATGTAGGTGAGGTTTCTCAGGGCTTTGTCCACTCAGGTTTTGAAACTCTCTAAGGGTGGTGACTCCCCTGTCTCTCTGGGCTGTTACAGTGGATGCAGTAGTTAAATTTTGGGAGTGGTAGCTCTGACAGTCTCTGAATATCTTAGGAGCCATATTAGATAACCTGACCATGTACAAGAGCAAGATGAACAGTACTAATGGTAAGAAATGTGTCTTGGTTTAAGGTTCTATGATGAAATAGGAACACCCCTTCTCTCTGACATCCGTGTGGACTACCCTGAAGAAGATGTGGAGCAAGTTACCCAGAACTTCTTCCCTAACTACTTCAATGGCTCTGAAATTATAATTGCTGGGAAACTCATCAACCACACCTCGGATAAACTCCACGTGGAGGTGACTGCCAGCAACTCCAAAAAGTACATCCTCCTCAAAACAGATGTGGCTATTGACCTGCCGAGCAGAAATGACATCAGAGGTGTCCCTGGCCTGGATGATGGCAAAGGTGACAAAAATTACATCGAGAGGGCATGGAGTTACCTCACCATCAAGGAGCTGCTCAACTCTCGCTTGAAGAGTGATGACAGTCAGGAAAAAGACTATTTGACAGAGAAAGCCAAGTCAATGGCCCTGGCTTACAATTTTGTGACTCCCTTCACTGTTCTGAAGATGAAGGAAGCTGGGCTCCATTCAGAACCACCTCAGGAGGAGTTTGTCAGCCCTTCTACTGATGGCATTGGGGAAAAGTTGCAGAGCTTGCAGGGACACAAGGCACCACCAGGTAGGAGAGAAAACTGACCTCGTGCTGATAAATCCTTTTGCACAGGTAATGTCTCATGGCTGCCTTTGGCACAGGGATGATTTAGCCAATGAACTGAGTGGTAAAGCTGAGATTTCCATATGAATTTTGCTAATTGTGGACTGGGTAACTTTAAGCAAACCTTTTAGGCACCTGAATGATCCTCTTGAAGTGCTTACTAATCTAATTGAAGAAAAATAAGTGTTCTAAATGAAACTTAAAGTAGCTGCAGGAATATATCCCATGATCCCTCTGAATAATATTTTGGGAACATTATTATAATATGTGTCTTTCTGCTGCTCAATAAGTAGTTCTAACATTCTTCTTTCCCCTCTTCTAGGTATACGCAGAGAGCATGATAAGCAAAGGATTAAAATCTCCAGAACTTCAGGTCAGTGGCTGTTTTCATGCCTTTAATAATGCAAAATCATAGTGGTTGATTTATGGAAACCTCAATTGCATGTCACTCTGGTATAACCATCCCAACACACCAGCTAAAATCCTGTTTGATGGACCTACAGAAGAGGGAGGAAAATGAAAACAAACCCAAAATACAGAGAGGATCAGTAAGGAGAGAGTGTGAGGAAACACAGCAAGGCAGATGATCTTCAACACTTGATCCTCATGTTTGAGATGTCTATAGATTAGGGGAGAACAGCAAACATTACGTCTGTACTAGTCAAAAATCATCTTATAAAGTGATGTTGTCGAGACATAAAAAATGTTGTTGAAGGAAAAAATTTAAAATTCCATAATGTTTTACTACTTTCCTGTTGGTTCTGCTCCTCTGTTAGCATCCTTTTCAAACATTAAACACTAAAGAATAAGTCTGGGTCAAGGATTTAGACTTGAATTTCACTAGATAAGGTCAAATTTACCTTAAAACCTAGCATTTTTGGCTTGCCTTGTTAATGACACCTGTCTGGTAGTTGGTGATAGCTCAAGGATTGTTGAAAACTTTGGGTTGTGGGATCAATGTCTGCTGTTCATTGCTCCAATCTGATATTGAGGGCCAGGAGGGTTCAGTGTGAGGTATGCCCATACAGAAGTCCTTGGTTAGAAAACATACTTGTGTGTGCTGTGGGGAATGCAGCCTGCCAAGAAAGTGTGGAGAAAGAGGAGTTTAAAACACCTGCATGATAACTCCCATAAATCACTGGAATTATATTCCAGGAAGAAAGTATCTTGATTTTCATCCAGATTGTTTTGGGTTTTGAGTTTTCATTTCAAACCCAACCTCTTCTGTGAGAAAAACAAAACAAAACAAAATAATCTTTGAGAAAAGCAAAGCAAAACTTGGCATTTCCTGGCAAACTCCATCTGACCCTCTAAAAACAACAAACCAGGAGGGCTTAGAAAAAACAGGGACACAAGCACTCTGAAAAGCAGTTTTGTTACAATCCTGGACACTGCAGTTTTGTGTAAGTCTCTCACATTTGTCTCTTTTTTTCCATGTCTTCTCAGCGGATGGAGACCCTCACTTTGTCATTGATTTTCCCTCCAGCAAGTTCTCTGTCTGCTTCAATATCGATGGAGAACCAGGGGACATCCTCCGGCTGGTCTCTGATCACAAGGAATCTGGTAAGCAGCCAACTCAGTGTTCCTCCACAAGCAACTGCTTGAAGTGTAAAACCAGCTCTGCAGCAGTAAGACTAAGCACCAAGGCAGTGCTTCAGAGGCAAGAAAGTGACAGGAAATTAGGAAAAAGTTGCTTTTCTGGACAGGCAGTGGAAAATTGCTGCACATTGTTTTCTGGCTGTAATCACCTGGATTAGAAAGGAGAGGTAAACTGTTCACTTGCACTTACTGAGCTCCAGCTTTAACACAGCTCATGGGTAAATTCACAGCAATTTAAGCAAGGAGGAGGCCTGACAACTGCTACATAGACAATTTATCTACAGAAGTGTTTGTTGGCAGAGTAGACCTAACCGCAGAGAGAACTGGCCTTTTTGTGTATCCACACTTTTCCTAGTTCAGGTTTTCGTTGACTGGGATGAAGGGAAGAGCAATTGCATGTAAACAGCCACAAGACCCAACTGAGTGCATGAGGATCACACTGCACCCCTGCAGTCCAGCTAGACTGGGGAGCACTGAGGCTGTTTCAGTGAAGAAACTACCAAACAGGTTACCAAGTCATGACAGCCTTGAGAAAATCCACATGATTCAGGATCTGCTTTGCCCAAGCCAGTCTGATCCTCAGGGGCCCAAACTGTGGTCTGATCCCATCTGGAATTCTAAGCAGTCCAGCTAATAAGCAGATTATGTTCTGAGCTGGGCAATAGTGGGAGAAATGGGTGTCAAAACCAGGGACAATTCACAGATTTGTTTTGCAAAACCCCACAATAAAGTTATAGGGATTCTGTTCTCTGTGGCACTGATCTAGCTCCATATCTCTGTGTTCATGCCTGCCTCAGTAATCTAGCTTCTGGCAATGTCTCCTTTCAACTTTTCACAGACTGTTTGTGCTACTGCTTGAATGATTCTGTGGCTCAAGTGCAGAATGAGCTTGAGGAAAACACTCTGTAGCAATAGCAAGTTGAGTCTTTGAAAACAGAAATGAGAGATCCCACCAGGAATGACAAGATACGGAGATATTTCATCTCAGTGTTGATGGCTTGGGTCTAGCTTGGGTTAACAACTCTTATTGTTACTGTCCAGTAGCTGGTCAGAAGCCTGTGGGAAACAAGTCACAACAATCATTAAAATGGTTAGAAATCTTACTGTGGACACCTAGGCTTTGTTTGACTCTGTGGCATCTGCACCTTAGACTACTCAAAAGTGGTTCTTTTTGTAGCACTGTGTACACTGTCTTAGGATTAATGGGGCTAGAGGCCCCTGTCTCCAGGGAAGGGCAGTAGTTCTAAGCTTAGGTGAATTTAGGTGCCTTTTATAATGTCATCACTTTATAACAGACTGGTTATACTATTTTCAATACTGGCAAGTGAAATTGAGCAGGAGGTGGTGAATCTGCATGTCCTCAGTTGCACAGCTCGTGCCATTCGGACAACAGACCTGCTCCTGGTTCCAGGTTTCATTTATTGATTCTTTTCCTGCAAGGTGTAACTGTGAATGGACAATTGATTGGAGCTCCTGCACCACCCAACGGCCACAAGAAGCACCGGACTTACTTCAGCACCATCACTATCCTCAGCAATAAGCCAGAGAGGTCTTACCTAGAGATCACACCCAGAAGAATCATCCTGGATGATGGGGAAAGACTTATCTTGTCCTGTCATCGCAGTGCTGTTGTGCGAAGCAGAAGCCTCGAGGTGTCCATCTCTGCCAATTCCAACATCACTGTGACAATTCGAGACACCATCAGCTTTGTCATCCTCATCCACCATTACAAGAAGCCAGCCCCGTATCAGAGGAATCACCTGGGCTTCTACATCTCTAACAGCAAAGGCCTCTCTTCAGACTCCCACGGGCTACTGGGTAGGTAACAGGTTCTCAGGCTGAGAGATGTAAACCAGACAAAAATGATCCTTCCAAACAGAGACAGGAGGTAAGAGACAAGGCAGGTGGGGATTAAGTTTCCAAGTGAAACTTTTACATCCACTCTCAACTTCTCTGTTGCTAGTATCCCCAACTCCTCTCCCACTATCCTGCCTGTGTCACTGTGCCTGTTTTTCACATTTCCACTCTTTTCATGATTGTTTAACACAGTTACTATTAGAATACACACACTTGATGCTCCCAATACAGAGAGCAAATATTCCACAAGAACTTCTTGTGGCCCTCTTCTTTCAAATGTGAAGTGAAAGAAGCACTGTCCCTACATTTTGAAGGAATTAGGCTTTAGGTAGGCTCAGAGAATGACTAAATGGTTGGATTCTTTCAGCCAACAAGAATTAGTGATATTCATGGCCACGTACAGGTGCAGAACTCTAAGACTGAAGCCAAAGTTTCTGTGTCACTCATGTACCCCCAAGTTAAGCAGGAGATGATCCCTCTGGATTGGGGGTTTGGATTCAGGCCACTCTCCTGCACAAACCTCTAAATCCACACTTAGGTTTGGCCTAAAAGAGCTTGTCCCCAGGAAGACAAGGGAAGAGAACTTGGAGCTTCAGGCCTAGATCTTTCTGCTTGATGATGGACATTGTGTGGGTTATTAACCTCTAGTAACCATATTCCACAGAAGGGAACTTACATTGCCTGAGCTAAAGAGCTTTTTTAGCTGCTGGTAGTATCTTGACCAGTGAGAAAAGAAATAGGGTTTTATTTTAACCTCTATGTTTGTGAGATTTAGAATAGAATTGCATGAATAAGATTCATTCTGCTGTTTACAGTGAAGCCCTTTAGAACCCCTAAGGATCCTCCAACACAGCCTACTAAAAAAAGCAAACCACCAAACCACAACAATTTATAAACAGGCACAAAACAGCCAGTCATGGACTCTTATTTTATCTTGCCTTGTAGGTCAGTTCTTGAACCATGAAGTTAAACTTCTTCAGGAATCTCTAAACGCAAGTCATCATCAGGTTGGTCAGAATCAAACCAAAGTGTTCCAGCCAAACCCTACAAACACCCTGAAAGTGAAGGGACGGCTTGTTCCCGTTGTGTGGAAGCAGAGGAGGATCTACAATGGGCAGCAGGAAGTTGATTGCTGGTTTGCCAAAAACAATGCTGACAAACTGATCGATGGGAGCTACAAGGACTATCTGGCTTCTCACCCTTTCGACACAGGGACCAGCTTTGGGACAATTAACCTTTAAGACTGGTTGTAGTGATGCATTGCAGCAGGATGTGTGACAGCAGGTCCCTTCTGAAGCCTCTACTAGGCAACTTAGGAAAATTACTTACTTTTTGGTGCCAAAGAAACCAAGGATTTTGCCCTTGGAAATGAGCTGTCTCTCTTTCATGCTAGATGAACATTGTCCATCAAATTCCTGAAGAACGAGGAGGTTGGGAAAAGGTTGAGGACATGGTTAAAGGCATGATTGGTGCTCTCCCAGTGGGAAGGGAGGAAGAAATGGGTCAGCACTCATATTGGCAGTGCAGAGCTGCTGGCCTTAAAGTAAACCCACGCAGGGATCTGTGCAATACACCCCAGTGCTGGTGAATCACCCTATGAGAGGCAGAGATCATACAGCTATTGAAAGAGACAACCTTGGTGATTTGCTTTGCAAAGAAGTGACTTGGAGCACCTGCTCCAACCTTGGTCCCTGGGGAAAGAGAAGAGAGGAGAGAGAGGAGAGGAAGGTGGATATTTATCTGCAATGACCCATTGGCATCAAACGGGCAACAAAATCATAACCTTAGCTCAGCAGGCCCCAGGAGGGTATTGCTTTCCTGGTTACTGGGATGAGGCCTGGATTTGCCAATAAACATGATGTTCCCTGAACCACTACAGACCCTTAAAACAGTGGTGGAAACCTTCATGCGGTTTTTGCTGTCTCAGTGCACAGACAGAGTGCTTAAAAACACCTCTGAACTTCGGCAGCACAGGAGTGGTGCAGGCCCCCATTCCATGGAGCAGCTAATTCAATGTAGTTCAATTTAAGTAACATTGCAGGATTAGTGAATTTTGAACCTTGACACCCTCAGAGAGAAATGAAGTTCCACCATAAGCTTCCAACAGACCTGCCACGTCCCTGAGCATTGCACTGCTGCTTAGCAAAGATTTAAATTCTCCAAGGGGTGATGAACCAGAACCTACAACAGCTTATGAGTCTTCAAAGCAGCCTCTTGAATTAGACTAGACATTTCTAGCTGCTTTCCTAATCAGGGAGGAAGCTTTTATTTATTCCAAATTGTCACAAATTTTTCATCCCAATTTCTCCTGGCTTCTTCTCCTTCCTTACAGTGCAGGAATTTGTACTTAGCAGGAACTTGGCAGCAGGAAGTTACAGAAGGGTCCTCCAGCCACCCCCACAGCAGGTGGTGCTGCTCTGCAAAGAAACCTCCAAACCCATAGTGCAAGGCTGTCGTCTATTTCAAAGTGAAGCATCACTGAGCAATGCTATAGATCAGCCCCAGGGGAGTTTTAGTAGAGAACTTGGACAAAGAGGACTTTGACAACCACAAAGACATTTACATGGCAAGGCCAAATTAAGCTCATGTATACTCTGTCTGTCCAGAACTGAAAGGAAGGAGGGAGGGTGTGGAAGCATCTCCAGGAATTAAATGATATCCATGTGTTAGGAGAAAACTGAGTTGCCAGAGACCTACAGAATTAGGTTCAATCTTGACTGATTTTTTTTTGCATATTTAACAATGAAGTCATATACTTGCTATAGGAGCTCCAACTGCTGGGGGTGGGGTGGTGATTTTCCAGTTGATTGAGCAGCTAGTCCTTATTGCTAGCACTGTGGCAGCTGAGCAGGTGGCAAACATGGTTTCTTACTCACACCATGTGCTGAGGGGAAGAAGGAAACAGCCAAAACCAACCAGTTAGATTTAATTGCACTCTGGAAGACCCTTACAGAGAGCTCAGTTAGTGCAAAACTCATGCCAAGGATTATGCTTTGGAACCAAGCATCAAGGAGAAACTACTGCTCTGGGCTCTGCTATCTTGAAAAATAGCTCTCCTGCAAGGAAGAACTGAAGACAAGACCTTCAGCAGAGTCCTGAGTGTGGAATAATGAGAGAGGTTTAATGCTCTGCAGCACTCATGGGTCAGAAATGAGATAAGAACATCTGTGGAGTTGAGTTCTCCATCCAAGAAGACAGGGGGAAGATCACCCACAGCCCATATGCAAATAACCACCTATTTCATTAGCACAGGCTGAACAGGATTAGTGTCTGTGAAGTTCTAGACAGTCCAGGGGTCAGCAGGTGCCTTCATACTGTCCTGACTGAAAAGAGATTTCTCTGAAATCCTCCCTCTCCTCACACATTTTGCAGTTCCAGTGTATTGCTAAGGGGAGCAATTGGCTTAGGCTCTTCTCTCACCTCTCCTGTATATAGATCTGTATATAATATATACACACTCACCTATTCCTAATGCTTCAGGTGCATCATTACTTCTCCTCCTCTAGCCAAGGAAACATATTTCTTTCAGGGCCTGAAGATAACAGTGATCAAGTCCAACTTCTCAGCAATATGAAGCACCTGGAGCAATATACTCAAGTTCTCCTTAAGGCTCCACTTATCCATTTCACAATAAATATTTTACAGTGAACACTGCAGTGAAGCTTTCATTTGGCAAAGATAAAACAAGCTTTGAAGCTAAGGTTATGTATGTTTTATGCTGCTGGACAAGCTCACATTACCAGATGGCTGAAAAAAACCCACTCATGAGTTAACAATAGGTTGGGAGCCAAAGTAATTTCAGTGGAAAATTAAAGGTTACTGATGTTCTTTAGCCTCTATACACATGGTAGGAAGCAAGAAGGTGAACAGACCCTCTGGGTTTTACACGCATGTTAAGAATTTAAGCACATAGAGAAGACTGATCCAGCCTGTAAATACAGTGGCATAGGACATGGGAAAACAGTTTGTGCTCCTGCTGCCCCAAGAGCACAGGCAGGTCATGGACTGTAAACTTCAGCTCTTTTCAGCTATGAAGGGGCATCACAACATTACCCTCTCTCAGAGGGAGAATGTGTCCAGGCCTGGTCCCCACAGCCCTTTGTGGTGGCCCAGAGAGCACTCAGCCATCCACTGCAACAACTGCACATACAAACATGCATTTGTTCTCGTCTCCAAGAGCGGCACAGAGCACTTGGTTTTGCAGGGATACAATTGAAGGTTGCACATTGCTCAGATAGCTGAGGAATGAGGCTGAGCAATCACTTTGGACTGCAATGGAAACA